CGGAGACCTGCCAGTAGCTGTGCCTCCCTTTCTCATCGTCCCCCACCCTTCATCGAGTAGCAGCAGAGGCTATGGCCAACACTCTCCCACACACCACACACAACCCACTCGCACTCACACTCACACCCGTGTTGGTCATAGACCCCGCTAATACCGATCAGGGGTATCCAGAGGACTATCACAGTCCGTTGGCACTAAGTGCGCCGCAGGCGGCCCACAACCTCCTGAATGCCACTTGCATGCCTAACCAACTGAGCTAGGCCGCTGGATTTTTTGCCCAGGTTGTTGTAGAGGTGGGATACTTTTTTTTTTGCCCAGGTTGTTGTAGAGGTGGGATACTAGACGGATGGCAGTCACCCACAATAATCCTAAGACAGTCTTGACAATGACCAAGATAACCATTGATGCACGGTCGACTCAAACGCCCACTTGCACCTCTTGCAGACGAGTTCAATTGCCATGTCTCTGGGGGAGGAGGGGGGGGGGGGGGGGGGGGGGGGGGGGGGGGGGGGGGGGGGGGGTTCCTGTTGAAAAACCGAACTCCAGGAGTTACCAGGAGGGAAAATAGCTACAGGATAGAAGCAGCTTCTTGGGATGGAATTTGTTGAAGTTGGCTCCAGCATTCAGCAAGGATTTCCACCAACTCATAAGTTTTTTTTCTCTACTAAATAAGACCAACGCTGAGATGCTACCATGTATGGGGTGTCTGATACTTGCAGCTCCTTGTACCGCCTGGGTGGGGAATACTCAGACAAGCAAAGTTTGAGATTCTGCCACCGCCACATCGCGGGATCAAGCTTTACATTCCTGGTTCGAGTATCATTAGCCCAGATTGAACAAGACCGCAATCCTGAGTCATAACACTTCTCTCTGACTCTGACGTGGAATAGTCGGACCAGAGGTCTGACGGGGACTACTCTACCACCCACATTCTCATCCTCTGCTTCTGCCAGTTCTGGTCCATCTGAACTCAGCTGCTCCCATTTGTGACGAACTACTTCCCGAACCTGTGCTATCTTTCGTACCCCTTTGGCTCCAATTTTTCTTGTACCATACCGACCCTACGAGTACCCCGTTTGTTTTCTTGATTTTGGGCGCCGTGTTTTTGGCCCCCGTTTTGTCGAAAGCTTGGTCGATTCTTGGAATTCTGCTTTTTGCAATTCAGGAAATACACGGGAATTTACACGCGCCTTAGCGAACGCACTGGGAATTCGGTCCAGTAGTTGGGAATTCCGGGATAAGCGGAACTTCGACGTGTCCTTTTTTTTGTGTGTGAATGTTCTCGGTCGCGTTGGGGAAAACTCTCGGAATTTTGTGAGAATACGAATAGGCGTAGAATTTTCTTTTCCCGCGCCGTCCTCTTCGCGCGCGGATATGGTGATTTCAATTTTGAATTGGTTTAGGACACAGGCAAGCTGTAACTGTTTCGGTGTCTTTTTCTTTTTCTTTTTGTTGACGGCGCCATGCATGCGAAGCCTTCTTCCCCTCTCCTTCCCCCCCCTGCCCCCGCTCTGTCTCCCGCATCGTTCTCTCCCGCGCTATTCCTTCTTCCCCCTTCTCATCCTCCCTTCTCGCAATTGTTTTCCCTCCCTTTCTCCCGCTCTGATCGGTTGCGCGCCCATTTTCCCTTTCTTGATCGTCTGAATCTTGGACCCGTCTTGCGCTA